CATTAAGTAGAATAGTGCTCCCAACATCTATTTCTTTTTCACTTTAGACAAATTAAACTATGCAGATGCCTTATAGTTGAACCGCATTGTCCCTGAGAGTAGATGTCTTAGTGTATTTTATGTTGCTGTAAAACAGTGTCACAAATTGAGTAATTTATATATAAAGAAAACAAAAGCCAGAAAGCTCATGACAATTGAGTTTTTGGTGTGTTGGCTCCTGGTTCTGGAGACTGGAAAGACCAAAGGCAGGAACGGTGCTGGTGCCAAAGGCATGGTGCCAGTCTGACATCTTCCTGCTGAGTCATCTACACACAAAGTTGCAAGGGAAAGAGAAACTGTACACCAGAGATGGCAGAAGGCAGTCACTTTATGACATTCTCACTCATTACGACCAATCCATTTCCATGATAAGCACATTAAAAATTCTTTCAAGAGGCTGGAGAGATAGCGCAGTGGTCAAGAACACTGACGGTTCTTGCAGAAGACCCGGTTTTGATCCTAGCACCCACATGGCAGCTAACAACTGTCCGTAACTCCAGTCCCAGGGGATCTGACAGCCTCTTCTGTCCTCTGCAGGCATTGCACAACACGGGTGCATTTACCTACATGCAGGCATAACACTCATACACATAAAATAAAAAATAATAATAAAATATTTTTAAAATACCCCTATTATCCCCATTTCCCCCCTTGACAATACCTGTCTTCTCTGATCCCCCCTTTCCTGAATTCTTTTCTTGTGACAGTTTGCCTATCAAAAATTAAGTGTAAATGGATTAAAATATCTGAACAAAACATAAAATGGCTGAATGGATGAAAAAATACAACTTAGGGCCTGGAGAGATGGCTCAGCAGTTAAGAACACTGCTTGTTTTTGCAGAAGACCCAGGTTCAAATCCCTGCACCCACATGGCATCTAACAACTATCCATAACTCCAGTTTCAGGGGATCTGACAGCCTCTTCTGTTCTCCGCGGGCATTGCACAACACGGGTGCATTTACCTACATGCAGGCATAACACTCATACACATAAAATAAAAAATAATAAAATATTAAAAAATTCTTTCATGACAGCAGAGGCCTTGTGATCTAATCATGGCAGTTTTTTTAAAAATTTTGTCTTGTTTTCACATATCATCTCACTCCATCAGCCCAAGCTGGCCTAGAACTCAACTGTATAGCTCAGTCTGATCACAGACTTACTGTGATCTTCCTGTTTTAGCCTTCCTATTGCTGGGATTGCCAGGTGTAAGCCCACACCCGGCCTACCCACATTTCCTTAGGCCCTGCCTCCCAACACTGTTGCATTCGGGATTAAGTTTCCAACACTCTTCGAGGACAAAAATAAATAATAGAAGATGTAATATCACATTTTACCCCCAACCGTATTTAGCACACTAAATGTTCGTTCCCCTGCCTGTTATCATGCCAAACTTGTGAGTACAATATTAACTCATGTATTATTAGCCTATTTACTTGAGAATCCTGCCCAATCCAAAAAGGCCTTCAGTAGTGAAATGTAATGTGAAAATGTAAACTGTATCTGACATTCAGGGCTTTCCACAGCCTGTTGTCATCAGAGCTTTTGCAATGCTTTCTGTGTCCTGAAACACCTCTTTCAACTGGCTTTCACCTAGATATGAAGGGTGATCTCTGAACTCACTTTTCCATGAACGTAAGTTTTATAACTATCTGAACCTTTTACATTTCTGAAAAGCCTTTCTACTCTCTGTGTCCCATCAGGGCCTTATGAAAGTCTCTGGCACTCTGGGGAAGTTTTGTCTACATCCAAACTCATTTGTACAAGATTACAGGAATGTATAACTCACTACATTATTGTCCACCATTATGAAAATGAGAGCAATGGAGGGAAAGCACCATGCTATCGATTTGTTGTGTTTTTCTCCCCAGCACCAGCTTACAAGACCAGCTTACTAATCTTTGGTAATGATGTAGGACAATTATGTTGATGAAAATATTTCAGTAGACCAAGTGCATTTATTATTTATTGCCTAAACTATGACTCATGTGTCATTTGATTTCACACTAATTCTTCAAAAAACCTGGGGTCTGAAAAATCATCATGCCAATCAAATCTGGCACAAACTTGCTGGTTGTGTGCCATGACTAAATAAAGGCTTAGCCATCCTCTGGGATGTTGTTTGCTACTTGGCACATTAAAATTAGCCATATTTAACATCTTTTTTTTCTCCAGAAAGTGGGCTGCGATAAAGAAATTGGTTCCAACAAGGTTGAGGATAAATGTGGGGTCTGTGGAGGAGACAATTCCCACTGTCGAACTGTGAAGGGGACGTTTATCAGAACACCAAGGAAACTTGGTAAGATGCGTGTTCTCCTGATGAATAATACCTTTTTCTGCTTCTTGTTCTTTAGAGAATTCTTTTAGAATTGCAAGTTTTTCCTCAATGGATGTTACAGAAATTAGTTGATATTTTACCAGTTGATATTAGTTGATAGTATTTTTAAAGTAGCTTAAATAAAAATAAATCATTAAAAAATAAAATTCACTCTGATTGGGGGGGTACGACTATAAGAGGGATGCAGAAGGGGAGAGTATAAATATAACGAAAATATACTTCATAGCATTCAGGAGAACGGCGCACATCTTTAATCCCAGCACTCGGGAGGCAGAGGCAGGCGGATCTCTATGAGTTCAAGGCCAGCCTGGTCTACATAGTGGATTCCAGAAGAGTTGGGGCTATAGGGAGACCCTGTCTCAAAAAGACCAAAAAAATGCAAGAATTAAGGCTTTTTAAAAAATATTTGTAGTACATAAATTATTGGCTAGAAGTGTAAAAAATTACAAAAATTTAACTTTTACTATGTTACATCATTTTCATGTATTTTTATTTTAAAAGTGAACAGTCTTATCCTGTTTGTATATTTATGAAGTTAGCATCCATACATCACATCATCTTTAGTAGTTTATTTTAAGCAAAATACAGATACAACTGAAAAATAATCTGAATTATGATCACTCACATGTATGAGCTTTTGTTCTCCTTACACCATCATTAACATAAAGTTTAGTGTGCAGCACAGAGTCAAAAGATGGAACAGAAATCTATCCCCTTGCAACAAATAATATGTAAAAATATTGGTTTCATAAATTTCATTGTGAATTTCCTAATATTTAGATGCAAATATTTATATGGTATAACAATATTTATCTAATTAGGATTTATTGGGGAAATAATTCTGAAAATTCAGGATTTAAGGAAAAGTTTGTTATGATGTTTTCATGAAGATTCTCCCAAATCTTGGAAAACAGTTTCAGTATATCTGATGGGATGTGAAAAAACTAAAGAAAACAAACATGAAGAAATTTGGTTTAATTTTAATACATTGTAACGATTGTAATTTATAGAAGAAAGCATAAAATGCTATATTAGTGTTCACCCAAATGGAGTAATTCTTCATTTCATCATAATCCCTTCATACCCACTGTACCCTGGTTACCTGACTATAGTATCAAATGTCAGGCCTGCTCTGTGACACTGTTTCAGATGGTGGAGTGAGGTGGCCATGTTCAAATGTGATCCCTAGTGCTGTCTACGCACATCTTTGCTATTCTTTCGTGATAAATCACCAGGCTTTGTCCTTTGAGAATTATTTAAAAGAAATTAATGCCATTTCTGACTAGCTGATTTCATTTCTTTTATACTTTTAATTGTTTGCTTTATTAATATTATGATTGCATTAGAATCAAATATAATTTTCTCTCTATTGCAATTAAATAGTGAACTGTGCTTACTTATTGAAGTTTATGTTATTCTTTTCTTTGGGGAGTATGAAATAATTACTTTTATTTTCAGGGTGAATTAATATAAGGAAAAATTTTACTGTGGTCATTATTTCTGTATTCTATTGTAATTTAAGGAAATGATACTCTTTTTCAGACAACTTCAAAAATTATGCTAAACTTGAGAACCAAGGTCAAAAGAACATGTGAAAGTGTTCCTCAGTCACACAGATTCAAATTGCTCAGACAACCTACCTCCATTTCTTTGCACTAATGTCATCATAGTCATTCAATAGACTAATTAACCTTTTCCAACAGGCAAACATTTAAGCAAGAGATGCCATAAAGAACTCAAGTTGCTGGAAAATGAAATCTGCAAGTATTCAACTTCCAATCACCTACATCATTCTGCATTCATGCTTAGTCTTACTTTCATTGACTATTAACAGTTTATCGGCATTAGCTAACTATTGTAGATATATTGTGACTCCAACATATAAAGTTACAGAACTTATAACTTACCTATTAAAAACTGTATGGCTTATGGGATAGTCAATGAAACAGCAAGACTTTGATAAACATGAAACCTCCACTAATTAACGGCATTCTATTTAAGGGAAGACGAGAGGTGCGTTCACATTACCCAAAGGAGCTCGTAATATTTCTCTTGCTGAAACAAGAGAAGCTAAAAATGTACTGGGTAAGTAGTAGTCAACTGCAGAAAGATGGGCATCCATAAATGGCATCAAGCTGTTTTGCTCTTCTTGGCATCTTAAGCACATTGCTTCTAGCAGTTGCTTAACTCAGGCAAACATGGTACAGCTCATATCTTGGGCTTTACCTTAGGTTAAAGTGCTGAAAACCCAGATCCCATATGGCCACTAATTAAGGACGCTAATAGATATTATGTAGAAGTTGGATAAATCTGCCTATAGCTAGATATTAATGGTATATGCAAATGATAGAAAATTTTTTTCTGATTCCATCAATAATTGTATATTGTTACCTGAATTCCAGCACTCATCCTATATGAATTAGATACTTCATAATAAAGTTATGTCACATAATTTTCTATATTCATTTTCTTTAGACAGGGTCTTCCTATATAGCCCTGGCTAGTTTCAAACTCAAGATCCTCCTGCCTCACAGGATGAAACATCACACCTGGATCTTACTCATTTATATTTTAATTATTGTGAATTTCATACAATATATTTTTATCAGGGCTGGAGAGATGGTTCAGCAGTTAAGAACACTGGTTGTTCTTACAGAAGACCAGGGTTTGAATCCCAGCACCCACATGGCAGCTAACAACTGTAACTCCAGTTCCAGGGTATCTGACAGCCTCTTCTGTCCTCCATGGGCATTGCACGACATGGGTGCACTTACCTACATGCAGGCAATACATGTATATACATAAAATATTAAAAAATATTTTTTATCATATTTAGAATGGACATGAGATATAACATCTCAATCTAGGCTGGAGAGATGACTCAGTGGGTAAGAGTACTGGCTGCCCTTGCAGAGAATCCAGGTTTGGTTCCCAACACCCACATGGTGGCTAACAATCATCAGTGACTCCAGTTCCAGGGGACCTGACACCCTCTTCTGGCCTCCACAGGTATTGCACACTCAGGTGAATTTACATACAGGCAGGCAAACACTAATACACACACAAAAAAAAAGGTGTTTTTTTTTTTTAAGCTCTGAAAAAAAAAAAAAAAAACAAAAAATCTCTCAGCTAGCTGTATTGTAAATTTATGATATTTGTAAGTGATCTTAAGGTAATTTTAGGACATGTGATAAGGTTTTTCATGTATGACACTGATAGTAAGAAGAATGATACATGAATTTAAAAGCCTAATGGCCAATTTAAGCCTATTAATTTATAATTTCTGTCTTAGAAGACTGAGGCCAGAGTGAAACAATACAGCACACATAACCTGTATTCAGTTTTTAAACCAAATGCTTTGGTCCAATCTATTAAATGTGTTAAAATACCATTAAAACATCCTTAAAATTTTTTAATTAATTGGTGACCACAAGGAAAATGAAAGGTTTTCATTGGTTTTTCTTTTGTAGTTTCTTTAAGATAGGCTTTCATATATTGAAATATTTTAATATTTAAAAGTCTATTTCTAGTGTTTCAGCTTTATGCAAAAGGCAGATGAAATATCTCAAAGTCACCACCTAAGAACTTTTATTAAAAATCAGCCCCATTTTAAAAATCTGATTTTGAAAAATAGACTTACATAGATTGACTCAGGAAAGTGTAAGATTTGCCTGAATTGATGCAGTTCATAGGTCAGTGCAGCCTATGAATTTTTCTCTTTAATAGAAAAAAAAAGACGTTTCTTCTCATGCCAGTTGCCCTAAAGCTGTGGAGTTAATTTCTGAAATGCACCTTTCAGTTTATGGATGCCCTCTTCTGCATGCAGGAGCAGTAAGGTGCCATGCTCCCCTAACCATGGTGTTGCTTTTGTTTTCTTTGCTTTCTCCAATATTCACTACACATGCAAAGGGTACCTTAAGATGTTTGATATACCCCCTGGGGCTAGACATGTGTTGATCCAAGAAGACGAGGCTTCTCCTCATGTTCTTGGTAAGTGTTTCTGTCTGCTGGCACTGCTTTTACATGCACTTAAATGTGAAATGTCAAAGATGCCACACATATAGGGACATATATGTGTATGCACATATAGTATATATACATATATATGCAAGAATGACACGTATGTATAAGTGCTATTATGTGAAATTTTGAAATTTCCAACCATCTATACTTTAAAATGAGAAATATGGGGGTTGGGGATTTAGCTCAGTGGTAGAACGCTTGCATAGCAAGCACAAGGCCCTGGGTTCGGTCCTCAGCTCCAGAAAAAAAAAAAAAAGACAAAATAAAATGAAAAATATGCCAAACTAAAACTTACATTTTGGGTTGAAAAGGGGTTGGTTCATCATTCATGAGAAAATACTTTTACAAGTTTATATTCATCATGCCTCTTTTGCTCTGAATTAGGAGATGAGAAAAGTAGTGTGTACTAAATTAAAGGAAGATATCAGAGGAATTCATCATACCTGGTTGATGCATACTGTGCCTGTATATACAATCTCTTGTTTTTGTATAGATTTCATATTCTTTATAAAGCAACCACAGGAGAATTTTTGCTATTCCAATGTTAATTTTTCCTCATTACTGAAAAGTGTCAGTTTGTTGATTGGCTCATACAGATCCACTTGCATGAGTGATTGTAGTTTTCAGAAGACAATTCTTTTCCTCTCTTATAAGAGATCACATATAATGTCACTTTAAAGGAGTTTGTATTTAAAGTACATTCACAAGTGTAAGCATAACTGTCACACATTCAAGCAATAAGTGCTTGGCCAGTTCATATGCTAAGATGTCTTAGCTTAGGAATCATCTGTCTCCTCCATGAAATCTTGTAGCAACTTGTGTTTTTAATGTGTGACCTTTTAAAAGGTTTTGTTGATTCATAAAATTGGTTCTCAGAAATATAGAAATTTTATTCACTATCAGATGGCATAACTTAGAAGCATTCTCCTATAATTTTTCCCTAGTAGCTAAAATCCTTAGTTTTCATTCTATAATTCAGATGATCATCCTTGAAATAACTAGTTTAAAAGATTAAGAGGAATAAGTACATTTAATAAATTTAATAAAATTACTTATTTTATATGTTTATGTGTTTACAGTGATGTTAGAATTATGGTTTTTTCTGACTTACTGATATATACTTTCAAATTTTAAAATTTAACTTATTTTTACATGTATTATTTTTCTGACTAGAGAAATATTTTGCATCATTACAGTAGATATGTAATACATTAGAAATCTATCTATAGTAAGTAGCTTTATTTAACAATATAAGTAAGTGATATGACCTGGGAATTTTACCATCATCAGAAAAATTATTGCCCTGGAAATCAGTTCAGCTGTTTAGAGTAGTTATCAATGTTTTCATAATCTTTAAAGAGATTCTTTTTTGTTCATTAACTATTATTTCCAAGATGGTCCTGGCTTCCAAGGAAATTTGTAGTATTAATGAATTACAGTTTTTTAACCTCTTTGACAATGTTTCAAATAGGAATATTTGCAAACATTATTTTTGCCTAATTAGCTACCTTGCCATCTCTTAACTTAGTAGGAATGCTTCTCAATGGTTTAAATACCTAATAAATGGAATGGGGAAATCATTAGAACTAACATTCATTTTGACTGCTTGACATTAATAGAGAAGCAGGGTCATTATTTTTATTAATAAGTAGATGGGGGAAGACTCATTGTGGGCCTTCAACACTATCATCTGATAAAATGTATGCTGGTTACTCATTTTCTTTCCTTTAGCTATTAAGAATCAAGCTACAGGTCACTACATTTTAAATGGCAAAGGGGAGGAAGCCAAATCACGGACCTTCATAGATCTTGGTGTGGAGTGGGATTATAACATTGAAGATGACATTGAAACTCTTCACACTGATGGGCCCTTACATGACCCCGTTATTGTTCTGGTATGTGCCATGCAGACTATTATGTAGTTTATTTTGTTTATAATGTTATAATCAATTTATCTTAAAAGATGCTCATCTAAAATACATGAATATTTAATTGCTTGTTTTTGTAAGTCTATTTATCTCCCAGTTTTGTGTCTAGAATTCTCATATATTATAACAGTATACATTATAAACTGAACAGTATTATATTTTATTTGAATAAGTTAAAGATAAAAGATAACAAAAGCAAAAAGTAGGTTTTTATATTTAGCCACAAATTTCCCATTTCTGAGGTTCTTTAAGTCTTTATCTCCTTGTGTATTGAGAACATCTGTTAGCATTCCTTGTGGTTTAGGTATACTCTCAAAGAATTTTCTCAGCTTTCAATTCACCTTCAAAAATCAGGGAGAAATATTAATATTTTGGATATCTACAGGAAGTATAGAATTTGCCTCTTACAAGTTCTTTTTTGGTTTTGATTTACACAGTTTAAAGCTGTCTTTACTCACTAGAGGAGCATCCTATTTTTTATGTTAATTATTGGAACATTATCCATTATTTCCTTTAGGGAGCTAGAAGGATTTGAGGGCTGATCAAAGACAAAGATCTGGTCACTCCACATAAGCCTTACTTAGTACAGGTTTGTAAGTGTGCTCACAATTCCAAGGAGATGGTCTGTCTGTCTAGGAGGTTCACCTAGCATCCTCTCCAGGAGTCTGAAGGAAGCAGAGAGTTCCTTATAGTCAGTGGTCTTATATATGCCTAGCAGATACTGGGTGCTGTTCCACACAAATATACAAAGAAGGCAGGCTCTAAAGATGGAACAGAATGGAAAGACCTAATATACATTTAACTGGAATTCAAAAAAAGATAAATAAGAAGAAATGAGATAATAGTCAAAGACAGGAAGAGATGATTATTATTCTAGAACTTATTATTGTTTTAAATGTAGCACAAACAAAAATTTCTTAAGTCTGAAAATCGTGTAAAGCATTTAAGTTCAAATGACTAGAGAACAGAAGGTCTTTTTGACTCTTAAAGAATTCCATCCCTTTCCAGCAGCATGGCTACAAGACTTCAAAGCCTCCATCCATAACCAACATGATGGTATGCCTCAAGACTTTGGGCTAGTTCTAATAATGAGTATAGAAAAAGGTAGGAAGTTAATAGCTAGAAGGCAATCGTGAATAAGCAATGGTCATGGCTTCTCTTCCTCTCTGAAGCCCTGAACCCCAGCTTTGTATCTAGATCATGGCTGCTAGGCTGTCAGGGCTGAAAGATTTAGATAGCCATAAGAGCTGTTGGAATCAAGAAACATTCTGTTTTAGAAAATAAAGTTTTCCAATTTTAAAAAAAGAAAATACTCTGAAACACTTAAATTTTCACTCAAAATTTAAAGCCAATAGAGTTACTTTTGAGTTCTGGGAGGCAAATAAGATTAACACTTAATAGCCTGTATTGGTTGGGAGTCTCTTGGATCCCCCTCCTTTACCAACAAGCTGAAGGGAGGTTTTCCATGCCTGGCACTGGGGTTTTGTTAGTTTAGGACTCTTGGGGGGAGCATTAGCACCCCATATGATGTAACTCTATTTAAATATATTCTCCACACATATATGTATATTTCAAGTAAGATTATGAAATAATGTTTACTGTGGCTTTTTCAATTTCGTGTATACACTAGATCATACCTCAAGAGAATGACACACGCTCCAGCCTGACATATAAGTACATCATTCATGAAGACTCCGTACCAACAATCAACAGCAACAATGTCATCCAGGAGGAGCTGGACACCTTTGAGTGGGCTTTGAAGAGTTGGTCTCAGTGCTCCAAACCCTGTGGTGGAGGTAAGAGCTGTATACATTTTGAATCAATTTATTATTCTACACTAGTTACATGTAATAATGGGTTGAATTATGACACTTTCATTCAAATACACAGTGTATTTTGATCATATTCAGCCCCATTATGCTCTCTTGTCCCAATGACCCCTTTTCTCTTCCCATCTCCTTTCATGTCTCTTTTTAATTAGTGAAAAAATGAGTTTCATATTAACATATAAGTCAGACAAAAAGCCAGTCTTTCACCAAGAACTATCTCTGATTTGAGGCTGCAGTTTGTATTGGAGGAGAAATATCAACAGTAATCAGGATGTATGCATAAAGAACATCGTTACTAATTCTCAGAACTGGCAAAGGGGATGATTCCACTTATTACAGTGGTAGACCATAAAATCCCCTTGCTCTTTCTCTAGGTTCTTTATGTCCCGTGTTTAATGCAGAAATGCCCATCATCACTTTTCCCAAACCCTAAAACTTTCCTAAATTCAATGCACTCTGGTTGCTACCCTTGTCCATTTTATTGTTCATGTCTATGCATTTATTTTCCATTTGTGTTTGTAATAGAGCATTTAGTAACATATAACCACATATCTGATCATGCTGTGATGGAAGCCAGCTGCTATCCTGAAAGCATCAGATATCCTGTGTCAACATTCATAATGGCTCTATGTGAGTTCTGGATTGATCTCTAGTATACAGATGGTGAAAATGAAGCACAGAGAATATAAGGAGTTCTCCCAATACCAGGATTCAAACCAGGTCTCCCAAGTGCACATGCCACTGCACCATACTGCCTTTCTCATTTCCCCAGAACAGATCCCTGAGGTATACCTGATTGTCCTCAGTTTCTCCCATCTTCTGTTCATCAAGTTCTAAACAAACATTCTAGCATTAAGCAAGCCATGACAAAATTAAACAGGCAGGAAATTACAGTAAGCACTAAATAATTAAAAAATAAAAACAAACTATTCATAGTAAGGAATTCCTGGATAAGCAAAATTTTCACTTTAAAATTCAAAACTGTGTTTCTGGAAGGGATGTAAAATATTTGAATCAGATCTTCCCTTGTGCTGTGTGTTCAACATCTACTTTGTCCTAAGGCCTTTATCAGATACCATTTTGATATATACTGTATCTGTGTCTTCCTCATTAGGCTTCTATCACTGTTTGGAAAGGGAAGATTATTGTAATTTGACTGACTGATTTTCTTCTCTCTCTCTATTTCTTTCCTAGCTTTTTATGTAAATTAATGAGTAGAATTACATTATTCTCTGAATTAAAATCCGCTAATCATATAAAATGTGGCCCTTAGGATACAAAGTCATTCAAGTAGCGGTCTTTCCAGAAGTTCATAAGCTGAATCTCATCATTGGGAGACAATTCAACAAAGCCGTATTTATGATATTGTGCAAAAATAATTTAAGACTGTTGAATACATGAAAGATAAAGAGGGTTTGAAAACTTATTCCTGTTACTGGAGGCTAAGAAGACATGGGAGTTAAATGAAGCACACAGTCCCCAGCTAGGAAAGCATTGTCAGAAGGGACATTACAAGGAGAGTGACAGAGTCTGAACATTATCTGCATATTGTGTTTTAAGAATTATTTTGTAATGCCGTGAAATGTTTAGGACTGAGAAATGAAGAGGTCTGCAGCTGAGGCTGGAGAGATGGCTCAGCAGTCAAGAGCACATGCTGCTCTTGCAGAGGAGCTGGGTTTGGTTCCCAGCACCCAAATGGCAGCTAATGGCCATCCATAATTTTAGTTCCAGGGGATACAATACCCTCTTCTGACCTCCATGGGCATTGTGTGACATGGGTACACTTATATACATGCAGACAAAGCACTCATACACATAAAATAAAAACATGAAAATAGAGGCCTACAACTTAGTTTGAAATTATTCAGGAAAAATCTACACATATAGTAAATTATACAGAGGGAATAAATATGACATGTTAACACAAGATCAATTTGAGTTTATTCCAATGCTTATGAGGTCCTTAAAACCTTTTTATAAGTTGGAAATTTTTCAATAAAAAAATTGTTTTACAAATATCAAAATGACACTTTGGGAGACCCCCTTTGGTAAACCATTCCCTATGACCTTCAAGATAAAGTCCAAATGCTTATCTGGGGGTCTTCACTTTGGAGACCTGATGCTACCTTAGCTCATCCCTCTTCACGCATGTCCTGCACGCATGTTCTTTCCTTTGCTTGAAGTAAACTTTGCTTTATTTTCTTTCTCTAACACTCTTTGTGCTGCACTATCCTGCTCAGGGATGTATTGATCTTGTAAGCTTTCCCTGTCCCTCTGCCCGCTGAGCAGGTGCCCTGTCCTCGGGTTCCTTTGGTGCTCGATCGCTTAGCTCTCCAAGGCCTGTGCTGCCCAGTTTTGATTCTCACAGTGGTTTTCATATCCATCCCTCACACAAGACAATGCACATTCAGAGTTTCACTCCCTACCAAGTACACAGCTTCTGTTTAACAAACTTCAGTATTTATTCTTTATTAAATGTAAGTTCTGGAAAGATTAACTTTAAAATGGTATCTGTCCTAGTACCTGCTATCGTGTGTGCACTCAAGTATTTATTAAAGGATTGAAGGAATATTCAAATGCATACTTTTAAGTGATTAAACAAACATTTCCTGTTTCAGGTTTTCAGTATACAAAATATGGATGCCGTAGGAAGAGCGATAATAAAATGGTTCACCGCAGCTTCTGTGAGGTCAATAAAAAGCCGAAACCTATCAGACGCATGTGCAACATTCAGGAATGTACACACCCGCTGTGAGCACTTATTGTCAGATCCTGCTGTCATAGGGGGATTTTAAAGTTTGAGTGTATTTTATTCAAAGCTTTTACATGTACCTATTTAAATCATCAGATCTTTCCAGGAGGATAAAGCCGTGGTGCTCCAACTTTCCCTGTAGTCCTGCTCCTAAAACACTTTTGCCTATTTTCTTCCTTTTGATAATTACTAGTTTCTAGAAGTAGACTATTATTTGACCTCTTGATTTTGGGAGGAAGTGGCTGGTTAGACATTAAGTATTAAATTTCTTTTGTGGAATGTGAATATTTAGCATTTGTCACAGCATTTCTAGACTGAACTCACTTCTTTCTCACACTTTCAATAGTGACAACCACATACCCTTGACTATCTCTGATGCCAAGAACTCAAATTCACATGTGTCTCAATGGCTGAGTCATGTTCCAGAGCAAATGTACTTTCCTTTCTTGTATAACTGTTTCTTTTAGAGTAAACAAAGGTCTTAATTATTATATTTGGTTTTCATACTGCTTTTTACTAATTAATGTTTATTCTTCCCTGGGGACATTCACCTCCAATATTAAACACTTAAGCACCTGTCACTTTTCTCTAGTTAACAGACGCAGTCTCTGCCTCAGCCTGGGCTCATGCCCAGCTCTCTCCTGGAGTTCCCCTATTTCCTGAAATAGTTTACATCTCCTCTGAGTTCACTCATCTATTTTAAGACCTTCTAGTTTTCTATAGACTTAAAGGAAAAAGCATATATTAAAAGTAAACATTTTATACGAGAATTAAATGTGGATTCTTAGGAAAAGGATGTAAGAGGTTGAAGTGTATGAGAAATGACTTGCCTCTATGCTCACCTTGTCATCTGCAAGCATGCACATATGGATACAGTTTTAAACTACATTTTCCCTCAGAATCTCAGAATCATTGTCCCACTGTGGGCTAGACTCTAGTGTTGCTGTTGAAAGATTGTCCTTTTGATTCTTAATTCTATAGGACCTGTTTTTTTGCTTGTCTTTCAGAGTTCTCAAGGTCTTTTTGTTCTTACCATCTAAAACTTTCCTAGTGATGAAGCAGTCATTAAGACCATCTTGTGTACTTGTAGATTTATGTCAATGGGCAGATAATCATATTTATGAGGTACAAGTGCTATTTTGATAAAGAATGATAAAATCAGGTCAATCAACATAGCCCTCACCGTCTTTACTGGTCTTTTCACTGTGGTATGCACTTGTAAAACACTACACATGGCAATTTAAAAATATGTATCACATTGTTATTAGCTGTAGTGATCACAGTGCAGTAGATCTCAAAAGCTGACTTTTTCTAAATGCAGCTGTGTCTTTTGATGGACAGTCCCCATTCTCTTCTACCCCCCCTCCCCCGCATTCTGCCTCCTACTTGAACGAATTCATTTTTCTTAGATTCCATATGTGGAACCATGCAAAATTTAGCATTATATTCCTGATTATCTAACTTAATGGCCTCTAGGTTCATCCATGTTTTTGCCAATGACATTTTAAAACCTGTTTTTTTAAAAAAAAAAAACAAAAAAAACAAAAAAAAACTAGTAGTCTCTTTCAATTCTGGAATGTTGTCTTTGAAATTTTTTCCTCTATTTTCCAGTTTCTTTTGGGGACTTTTGTAGGTTAGCTTTTTGTTTTATATGCTTAGGTTTTCAATTTTGCAGTCATCACTGGTCTCTGAGAGTGTTGCTCATCAGTTACAGCTCCCTAAAGCCATTCGATTCACAGATACAATACTTAATGACTTTTAGCACAGTAACTTTTTGTGTATTTCATCTTTTTCCTCTTTCATCTGGTTAGTCAGTATGTATGTAATTGAGGCATATACTTTATCCATCCTTTCCATAAATATGAAGTCCTAAATTATGCTAATACTTTTGTACTCTTTGTATGCACAGTTTAAGACTGACCTAGTCTGTCAAACTGGAAATGAAATATGGTAGGTAGACTAAGGAATTGTGTCAGCTTTGAAGGCCTCAATTGTGACTCTCCTTTAAAGATATGTTTCTTATTTGAAGTGCGCTTTGTAGATATATACATTTCTGGTTTTCAGGTGAACTCAACACTGAGAGGCCCTGAAGGTCTCAAGAACCATATATAGTAGAAAACTATGTAAACACAGCAGATTCTCAGAGTTTTGAGGCACTAATATTAGATTATGGGAATGTTTTATAGGAAATACTTTTGAATGTTTCTCTTAAGAAGCATTGTTTATTAGGTACATTCCTGGGAGGCACTTTCTACCAAAGCCTGAATACCTGATTTCTTCTATTAGCCTACTAAGAGCTAGTAATAATGGACATATCCACAAAGGATAGGTAGCACTCTTGAAATCAATGATTATTTCAGAATAGTAAAATGAGTAACCTCAGCAGAATTCATGGAAAAAGCAGTAGCAGCCAAATCCTTTTGTTGTACAAACATCAAATGGATTCCTGTTCTGATTCACTCCTAAGGGTTTTGTACCTGTTAGTGGTTATGATTGAATATGAGCTGGTGCTGCTTTTGAAAACCACCATCATGCCTAAACTTAATTAGGGTAAATTTAAGATACATTCCAGAGGCACCAAGAGGCAGAAAAAGTGGCAATAGGTGAAAAAGAAAAGTATTGGGCCTATTTTCCAAAGCTGTTCCTCCCTAAGCTGTATTTGCTCAGAAAGGGGGCAATGCCTAGGTTTTGCAGTGTGGGGATTTGCACAATCTACATCCCAGTGACAGGAATCCATCCTAATCCCCATTTCATAGATGGGTAGCAGAAGAATGGGAACACTGTACCAAAACCTGTGGCAGCTCAGGCTTCCAGCTCCGCACTGTGCGTTGCCTACAGCCACTCCATGATGGCACCAACCGCTCTGTGCACAGCAAGTACTGCATGGGTGACCGTCCTGAGAGCCGCCGGCCTTGTAACAGAGTGTCATGCCCAGCCCAGTGGAAAACAGGGCCCTGGAATGAGGTGGGTGTGTGGGTCTCAGTCTCCTCTCTCTCTCTCTCTCTCTCTCTCTCTCTCTCTCTCTCTCCTCATTATGTAGCCCTGGCTGGTCTCTCACTAAGCATGTGCAGTGTATATTAATTGAAGTTAAATACCAAGTAGGCTCTGTGTGAACTGAAAAACTGGCATATTTTCTAACCAACTAAGGATGCTAGGAATAGTTAATACTTTAAAATAGTATTTGCAGTTGAGATTAGGTAGTAGTGGAAAACCATGTTCAGGTGTCTTGTGATGTGGAAGCATCTGAAAGGGCCCCAGTCCTCTGAGGTCTTTGGTGACTTCTCTATTCCTACGTAAAGTTTTAAACCCAATGCTGCATGCAATGCACTGCTCTACTGGTATGGTTGTCATTGCTCTCACTCTGTCTTCGTTCTGGTAAATTTTCTGTTCCAAACAAACCATGCTTGTTCAAGCCAACTCCTTTCACCCAGCTTGTTCTTCCCTGTCTCTTTCTAGCAATTGCTCCATCCTACAACAAGGTTCATTGTCATAGTTCAAACTCCTGCCTGCCTGGTGGTGTCCTCACAGTAGATCCCCCTCTATATTCATAAGGCAGGAACAAGATCAGTTCTAGTGTGCAGCTCAGGACAGAGCATTTTGGGACTCCTGAGTCCAAAGATCATGTGCCTTTCTTCCCCAGTACCCAGCCAGTGCCAGGGGTCAAATGGTGTTTGGTGACTGGCTGACTCGTTGTTGTCTATATTACCACTTGTGCTTGCTATTTCTAAAGACTCAAAATAAGGAATCATGGGCCATAGGAAGAGGGCTCATAGGAGGAATGAGCATCAAACAGCAGGCAAAGGAGAAAGTGGAGACCGTTCCTAGCAAGTGAGGAACAGGCAAGGCCCTGTCATCCACACAGGACATTGTGGAGAAATCCTGTCCCGTTCCTCCTCAGGGACCTGGAACAAAGCTTCTAGCCCTGCCTACCTCAATAGTCCATGAGTTTATCAGCTTTATTCTAGAGCTGCAATAAATTCTTCCATCTGTAAGAAAAATACAGGAGTGGGCAACTACATTCCAGGACTGGCTTCTCTGGGCAGCCTGACAGCATAACTATGGCTCCTTTTATGCCAGCTGTTCACTAGGTGCCAGGCATTTTTCCTGTTTTTCATACAATGCTTCAGCAGTCCTCTGGGGCAGTTATTATTCTAGTTACCTAAATGAGAGTGCTGTGATTCAGAGAAAAATTAACATGCCCCAGCTGCTAAATAATGGAGCCAAGATATAAATCCATGGTTATCTGTCTTCAAAACCTCTTCACAGCACCTCCTCCTTAAGAAGGAACTCCGGAGTTGGCAAAGGGGTTGTATGTGGGCACCTGTGAGTATACATGTGCCTGGTCCTGGTGGAATAAATACCTGTAATTACAGCCTTTCTCTTTGTAGTGTTCGGTGACCTGTGGTGAAGGAACAGAGGTGAGACAGGTCCTCTGCAGGGCTGGAGATGACTGTGATGGTGAAAAGCCCGAGTCCACCAGAGCCTGCCAGCTGCCTCCCTGTAATGGTACGTATACCACTAATCAATCTTACCATTATAATGAGTTTGATCATCAGAAAGCAAAATGTAGGTAAACTCTGGAATTAATATTTTCTTATAAAGAATCTTCAGAAATATTAGTCTGAGAATGATTTGGAACAGTGACCAGTGTCTCTGAGTTATACCCACATGGTAATGATAGTGGGTAGGATGTGTCAAGCCTAAACAGAGCCTGTCAGTGTGCATTGTGAATGGGGACTACATTTTTTTTCTTTTTTACATTTTAAATGATATGAAATTATAGTTAGTAAACTCTCTCAAAGCCTGTTGGAATGCTCCAAAATGTAGACAAATAGAGATTAAATGTTACTCAACTCTAAAGTCCTTCCCAATAACTGTCCAGGTATATAAAGAGGGATTTCAAAATAGATACCTTGCCCATATACTAAAATTAATCAATTTGCCTGAGTAACCTACTAATTGTATTCCAAAAGTGGAATATACTTTATTTAGTTAAAAATGTAAATTGAGGGGTTGGGGAGGTGACTCAGCGAGGACGCTTGCCACACAAACGTGAATACCTGAGCTTGTCTCCAGCACTCATGTAAAAAGCTGGGCATGGCAGCACACACCTATAATCCCACCTGGGGGGACACAGAGAACTTGTCTCCAAAAACAAGGTGGGCAGCAATTAAGGAAGGCACCTAACTCTTTCCTGCTGCCCCCATTAGTGCACACTTTGACACACTGGTGAGACTCAAGATGAAAATGTTGCTTTTTCCTTAGCTTATAAACCCATAAATATCATTGAAATCGATGTGTTTTATTGCAACAAAATTGGCAAAGCACCATTTTCTCATAACTTTTTAAAAAATTATTTATTTAATAACCACATAATTAGAAGAAGCATTTCATTACAGCAGCATTGACATATTCAGCAACAATTTCCAGAGCTAAGATGCATCTCTTTCAAAATTGGCTGTCAATTTTTAGGTTTACAGTTAAATTAATACAGTTATATATTATTGTACTCAGTATAAACGGTATAAAATTAAATGAGGTTTTAACCTTTAAAAAATTTCTCCATTTCGCTACACTCCCATCCTTAGAACTCTTGGGGTAAGTCTATAGCGCAGCCCTCTGTGCTTTGAATCCCCAAGCCACATTCACCTTTCCATCTCCCCCGCTGTTCTCTACTCCTAGTTTGGGCCCTGCCCCATTCCTAGTCTTGGGGCCCCAGACATGTGGGGAACCAATACTGCTTCCTGATCCTTTTCACCCAGAACAACTTAGTACCTTTCTTGGGCCCCAGGAGCACTGCTTCTGGACCTGGCCACGCCCTCACCTCTCTCTGCTTCCCGGGACCTGTACCACCCGCTAACTCTCCTAGCCTGCACTCCTATCCTCAGGCCTCTTGGGGTAAGTCTATAGAGCAGACCTCCGTGCCTTGACTCCCCAAGCCACATTCAACCTTCCATCTTCCCCGCTGCTCTCTACTAGTTTGGGCCCTGTGCCATTCCTAGTCCTGGGTCCCCAGACACCTGGGGAACCAATACTGCTTCCTGATCTTTTTCACCCAGACCAACTTAGTGCCTTCCCTGGGCCCCAGGAGCACTGCTTCTGGACCTGGCCCTGCCCTCACCTCCCTTTACTTCCCTGACCCTTCAACACCCGCTAGCCTGTTTCTGGGGCTGACAGCCTCTTTCTGGGGCTCTGAGGTTTATCTTTCCGCTCCCTGATCCTTTGCATCCAGTACAACCCAGCTACTCAATCCACTCCCTGGGAAATCTTGGGGCTTCTTCCCACCACATTTGCCTTTGCATCCCTGCATGGCAAGCCACGGCCAGGATCTCAGGTCAGTCCAACACCCAAGTTCCTGAGGCCAAAATCATTCTTAGAAGATTCCAGACCTAAGGAGAAAGTCTGAAAACTTCTGATCCACATTGGAAGTGGGCCACCGCGGAACTCCTGAAGACAAAATCAGTCCAGCCACACCAATATAAAATCAAAAGAGAGAACCAGAAGCTTAGACGAACCAGCTCTTCATACCCAAAAAGTAAACCACAAAGACACATAAAGCTCAAAAATAAAAGAAG